CAACATCCCATGCTGCAGCAATAATGTTGTTGACAACGTAATCAGCAGGAATTATATCGACAGTTAAGTCTCTATCACAATACAGTGTTCGTAAAACACCGGTCAAGCTACCAAAAATAGCACCTGTTAGTCAATACAAATTGTTTATTAATCAAGCGATTGGTTCTTTTTCTGTTGAGACAACAATAGATGGCCGAAAAATGCAAGTGGGAATTCCATTAGAATATTGCCGTACTGTATCTTCACAGATTGCCTTTGAAAATGCGTAGGTGTTAGGCCACTTACCCAGTAGACTGTAAAAGAAACGAATATGCCTATAGACTTATCTCTAAAAGAATGCAATAGGTTTCATGTTCTATAACATTGAGGTGATTAAATCTAATTGGTCTTTGGTCAAAATCTCTGTCAATCTAATTATGTCTTCTGTCTTCATAGGTGGCTTATACAATTTTTCTTCGATTTTATTGTAAACACATTGATTTTCTCAACAAGTAAACACACAAAGTTATCTTGACATAAATCTCGGTTGAACCAAGTACCTTTATTCTACTGTGGTCTTATAACAACTGCTGAATATCAGATAACTGATCTGTGGATTTATATATGTGAATGTGAATGTGTATATGAATATGTATATGTATATGTACATGTATTTGTACAATGAACTTAGGATCTGCAGCAGCGGTTCTCAAAGTGGGCGATAGCACGACCACAATTGAAACGTGAAACTTTGGGTGCGGGTGTGCAATTAGAAAAAAGTCATAAGTGCAATAAATAATTTTTTTCATTTTTTAGTTACAACCAAAAAAAAACATGTTTGCCGATCACACGTGTTAGAATTGAAACTTTTAAAAAACTAAGTTTCAAAAAAATGAGACAAATGCACAGTTTCAAAAGTAAGATAATTGTAGGATTTATTTATTATAATATTGTTACTATATATATGAAAGGGCACCGGTATAATCTTTGGATTATATTTTTATTATATTGCTCAACAATAGAAATTCTAATTTAATTAATAAATTTTATTATTGTTTAGACCTAGCGCTATGGCAGACACTTTACCTAACCCCAACTAGTTTAAGGATAAAACTTTGCATAAAAACTAATTCC